GCGAACGAGAGTCGAGCACACGCTGGCAACGTCAGGAAATCGAACTTTAAAGAAATGAAGCCATCTCACGTCTAAACACTCCGAAGACTCGCAGACACATAAAGCTGGAATTTGAGTTCCGTTGGCACTCCCTGCAGAGAGGTCGCTTTATTGACACATTTCGGAGTCGAAAGTGAAACGGCCTTTTATTTCCGACAGTGTCGTCAACAGGGCCACAAACCGGCCGCCATCTCCCCCCGGCAGGTCCAGCGGGCGATGACAACGAAGACAGAGAGTCTGATATCAGATAAGACGCGGTTGGGTCATTCCGTCCGGTCGGCCGGCCGGGCCGCGAGAGTAGCGCCCCACACCCACTGCCCACCCTCAACACCGTCAAAAGTTTGGCTTGCCTCGCCTGTGGCAGTCTCTCTAACGCGCCGCGCGCGAACCTCTAGAGAGACTCTGCCCACGGCCAGCATTAGCTCGGCCCTCTAATGACTTGTAATGCAGGGGCTGCACCCTCGAGTGGCGTGGAGAGGCGGCGCTGGAGAGGCGGCCGCGTAATGGCCCGGCCCATTTGACTCAGCGAACAACTTCGCCTTGCTGAGCTCGCTTCGCGTGCCCCGGCTGCAACCGACGTGACATGGTCGAGCGTCCGCGACGCCCGGTCTTAGTGGGCCAGAAGCCCAGCCGGACTCCACACACCTTTTCAGGACCTTTCAGGACCTTTCAGGCCCACCGCCCTCGCCGTCGGACACACGAGTGTCAAATGGGACCAACCAAGCGTCTTTGATTCGAGGACTATTTGAGGACTTGACCGGCGTGTTCCAAGCCAGGACATCTGTCCCACTGCGGCTCTCCCAGCCTCGGGCCCTCCAGCCGGACTCTGCTGCCGTTGATGTTGTTGTTGTTGTTCCCGATCGCGTTCATTTTCCGGCGGCTCAGCTGCAACACGCTCGCTGGCTAAATCATTTTCCTTTTGTTTCTCTTTGCATGCCTCGCCCTTGGCTTGCCTTGGCTTGCCAGTGTAGGTAGAGGCGGCCGGGCAGGCCGGCGCGCGGAGCGAGGCAGAGCAAGGCAGAGCCAGGAGGAATTCCCGAGGAATTTATTTATACATCTAGCGAGCGCTGGAAGGCCTGGAAGGCCTGGAAGGGGCGAAGGCATTCCCTCATGGCGCGCCGATCGGCGTCACGATACGCACCTTGGGATGGTTTCGTTGACGAATTTATTTTTGAGGTGTCCGTGCCGCCGCGGCGGTGGGAGCACAAGGCGGAGCAGAGGGTAATCCAGAATCCAGAGCGTAGCGTAGCGTGCCTGCAATATCCTCGCTTCGCACTCTCTCTTTATCTCTCTCACTTCATTTTCACCACAGCACTTCACATTCACACTGCACAGTATCCAAGGGTCGGTGCACTCGCGGGGGCAACTCGGGTCGGTCCTTGGGCCCTGCCTCGGTTCGGTCCTTCGGGTCCTTCGGTCGGACGCGGCGTGGTTCGGTAGGCGCGCGAGCTCTCGCCCCGTACGTCCTCTCGCGGCGGGGTCCGCGCGGCAACTGAACTGGACGGCCGCGGGGGAGGGGGAGGGCGGGGGCTGACCGGGTGGGGGCAGGGGGTGGAGGGAGGGTGGGGCGGACCGGTGAAGTTCAAGACACTCCACAGCTCCAGAGACCTGCCCCTGCTGCTAGCTGCTGCCTCGCAGCCCGCCCCGCCCCGCCCCGCCCCGCCACGCCCGTTCGGCTGGCTCCGGGTCTCTTCGGCCCCGCTTCGGCCCCGCTTCGGCCCCGCTCGGCACCTGCTGGCCAGCGCCTCCCCCTCCCCTCCCCTCCCCTGGCCCCGGCTCGGCTCCGCTCGGCTCCCGAGGGCTCGGCTGGGCTCGCGGTGCCACTCGGCCGGCTCGACTCGGCTGGTCGAGCTCAGCCGGGCTCGGCTACGCCGCTACGCTGCCAAAATTGATCGGATAAATGCCTTATTTTTCATACCGCTTTCGGCGAGTCGCATTTCTGTGAGTTGACGCCCGAGCCTTTGAGCGCAGCGAGAGTAATTTCGTTTCACCCCGACGATCTCAGCCATGGACGTCCAGCCGGGTCAAGATGTGGCCAAGTTCGCCACTTCTCTGCGCTCCATTTTGAAGCGATTGTCTATTTTCCCGGACCCTGTCCAACGCTTCTGCGCCTCTCACGTCAGTTTTCAGGCTGTCAAGCTGTCTTTGTAAGAAATGGGATGCCATCCGTCCCGCGGTCGGCCACCTGAAAGAAATAGGAGCCGAGGGGTGGGGGCGCTGGAGGGGAGGGCCCCTCCTCCCTCCCTCCCGGGGGGCCCGGCTGGCCCCGCTCGGTCCCCTAGGGCTCCTACCCTGGGCTCGCGGTCCAACTCGGACAGACTCGAACTGGGTGGTCGATTTTTCAGCGGACTGGGTACGCCTCTACGCTGCCAGATCTTTTTCTAACTGCCAGATCTTTTCAAAACCCCCGGCAGCCCATTTCTAATGCGTTGACTTCCCGAGCGAGCGAAAAAAGCGGGGAGTAATTTTGTTTCCCCCCGACGATCCTCAGCCTGCCGCTCCACCGGGACAGCTGGGCGAAGTTCCGGCCAAACTTCGGCCAGCCCCCTCCCTCTCCCCGCGGCCCCTACCCCCACCCTCCAAGTTTCGGGGCCCCTCCCGTCAGCGGCTGTCCTAGCTTCTTTCAGGTGGTGAACCGTCCGTCCCGTTCTAGGCTCTCCGGCCCTGCCAACATTTTAATACTGAACCGTCCAGTGGTGCCAACCATGGCCTCTCACTCGGAGGGGCTGAGCCGAGCTAAGCGGAGCGGATGGCAGGAATCGAATGGGATCGAGTATCGAGGAATGAATTCACTATTCACGGAGTGGAGGAGCTGCGAGCACCGACTGGCCGGACCAAACGGGCATTCCAGTAAGAGGCGGAGAAGGGGGAGGCCCAGGCAGGCCAGCAGAACATGTGCTGAAACAATCCACACCTCGTAGCGAAATAATTGCACCCACTACCCGCGACGTAAGCTAAAAGAAGCGAAAAGGAAGGATCATATCGCATGAATAACAAAGACATCAAAATCTCTTTATGGGTACCTGTTTCATTCTGGCCGGGGAGCTGATGAAAGCAATATTCCGAGATGGTGGACTGGAGGAAGCATCCGTCTCCCTCCAACTGGTGGCGGGGCCGCGAGGGGGGACAAGGACGGAGCCGACACGGTGTTTGCGTTATTTTGCCCACATGATACATCGCGCGGCCCAAACGGCCAAACGGAACCCCCCGTGCCCGTCTGGACACCCCATGAGTGCGCGACAAAAAAACCGAGCTTCGTATTTCGCATATCCCACTCTGCATGCTCCGCAGAAGTAGGTTAGCACCTCAGGGTGCTTCCCTTCGCTCGCTTCGCTTCCCGGTCCAAGTCCGCCCAACTCTTACCGCACTTACGTGTTGTTTATTGGACACGCTCGCTACGCTTCGCTATTTACAGCGCATTGTTGCCTCGCAGATAAATCACAGGAATCGGAGGTCATAGCGGCACTGCCGCGTTCCGAGAGTCGTTCTCGTCGCTCCGCCTCGCTCGCACCCGTGCGGGCCGTGCGGGACGAGTGCGAGAGAGACCGCACGACTCCCAGCCTGCTGCCGGCACTGCGAGACGCGCGTTGCATCGCGTTGCATCGCGTTGCGCTGCCAGCCGTGGGTCCTGTTACCCATTCACGGGGTGGCAGGCCTCAAAAAATAGATCAAAATGAACACAGGAATGCAGCGCGCTGCAGCGCGCGGGGTTTGTTTTGCCCGGAAGTAGGTCGGCGGAGCGCGCGGAGCGACTCGTGTTCCAGTGTTCCCACGATGACGTTTGACAAGGTTTGTGTTGGTGTCCAGGACGAACAGGACGGAGAGGACCCCGTCGACGGCGGCGCCGACAAAGGCATGGCCTCGGCAGCCAGGGTAGCGACCCCCCCCCCTCCCCCCCTTGCGAACGACGCCAAAGGGGCTGGTGGACAGAGCGGGCCGCCCGCCCCGCCCGCACTACGACTCAATATTAGTCGTTATGTTATTGCCCCCTCCCCCACCCCACCCCCCTGCCCCGCCCGGTGCTCTCTTTTGTGGGGCCAAGAAAGCCGCACTAAACTGCGTTGCCAAGTTTGGCGATGTCTCCGTGCGCACAGTGCACATCAACAACAACAATAACAACGACGATGACAACAACAGCAAGGTGAGCTCAAAAGGACCAGGCCCGAGGCGACCAGATTCGCAGATTACGTATAAAGAGTTGCGGTGTTGAAAATTTTTGACTCCCATTTCCACCTTGCGAATGTGACGTCAGTCAGCTGTCGGTGGGTCCAGACCAGATGCAGTTGTGACGTTGTAGCTCGTTTCGCCGCTGTCTCTCTCGCTCTCCCGCCGAACGCCCCATGAGCGCGACGAAGACGGAATCAGTCTGCAGTCGGGGGTGTCGCACTGACCTGCGAGAAATGAGTCCAACGGCAACGTTGTTGTTGTTGTTTTTTGGACGATGTTGTTGTCTGGACTTCCTCTCGCAGACAAGTATTGCCGTGAGCGGGAACAACGGAACGGCGGAGCGGCGGGCCGCGCCAAGTAGGGTTATGAATCATGGCGATTTTATGTTGGCCGCTACACCACAATTAAACGCGCGGCTCTCGTACTCTCGTGCTCTCGTAACGAGGAAGAGGAACGAGCACGGGCACGGCCTTTAGGCCTTTCGGCTGGACTTGGTCTCCTCCTTGATGGCCTCCGAGAGCTCCGCGGCCACCCACATGTGAGGCAACAACAACCCCCTTGTCGCTGTCTCTCTCGCTCTCGAAAAAGTATCCGTAATTTCTAGCGTAGTCTAGATCTGCTCGAAAATGCCCCCGACGGTTGTCACGCTTACCATTTTCCCGCCCAAGCTTAGTTTTCTTTCCCGCCGATAGCGCCTGGCTGCAGGCTGCACAGCCGCCCTTTCAACGACCGCGTCAAATGGGTTGCCTGCCCACCCGGCGGCGCATCTGTTGCAGACGACGGGTGCTTATTCGCACTCACGAGTCACTACTCGCAGTACGGCGACGGAGAAGAAAAGGAGGAGGAACTCGTAAACAAAGAAGTTTCATGCGAATTTTTTTCAGAAATGTGTGATTTAAACAGGTTTTGTCGATTATGTCTGAGAGAAGAAGGAGTGGATGTAAAACTCTTCAACCGTCCCAAAGCGAATGATGACCTAGCATTGTATGAGAAAGTGAAGCGATGTGTACCTGTTCAGGTTAGATTTGTTTTTCACTGGAAGACCTGCTTTGCTTATTTTAACTGTATTTAATGTTTTCACTGGTATTTTGATCTATATACCAGTTGTTTATGCTCCTCTTAAGCAATGCTAAGTTTTATTACTGGCTGGACCATGAAGTTCATGTCAAATTGTGTTGTGTTTTGAATATGTTTCCAGATCGAGCTGGGCGATGGTCTTCCTTCTCTAATCTGCAAGATATGTGCAAGCCTCATAGAGAAAATATGGAATTTCAGAGCTTCAACCGAACTTGTAGATACAACAATAAGACAGTTACTGGAAGAAAGAAATGCCACAGTAAGTCCCACTCCAATGCCTTTTCTTTTTATTTATTTTTCAAGACTTTAGCGTATTCACTTTTGTTCAGCTCAATTTGGAAGAAAAAATTAAGTCAATAGCCAGAGGCACTTTAACACCACCATCTAGAGCAAGGCAGTGCAAGAAGAAAAGTGAACTAGAAAAGCTGTCGCCAGCATCTTGTAGCACTGCGTCCGAGAGTGATTTATGCAATGAAGCTCTACAGAATGCAATACTTAATTCTCAACCCGACTCCAACGATGATTGGGCAGAGACTGGGCTTTCTCTGGAATCTCCAACTTCTCCTCAGTCACTCATGTAAGCCTGCACAATGGCCCTCTAAGCTTTCATATATTTTAATCATTCAATGCTATTTAATTTTACCTGACGTGTAATTAAAATGATGTCTGCTTATTCTAGAAGTGGCAAGGAGGATGAAGATTTACCTCTTTCCAAAATTGGGAGAAAGAGGCTGGAGTATGTGTGTGAATTTTGTGGACGAAAGTTTTCAAGATCAAATCACTTAGCTCAGCATGAGCTCACCCACACAAAAGAAAAACCCTTCCACTGTTCAGACTGTGGAAAAAGCTTCTGGTATAAAGCATCCCTTATTGGCCACATAAAGCAAACACACACCGGTGATTGCAATTACACCTGTGAACTTTGTGGAAAGGTATGTATTTGGTATATCCATTAGTAGTTTTGTTTTTAGCTCGAATGCAGCTCTAATGTTTTTTTATTTCTCAGGGCTTTTTTAAGAAAACTGAGCTGACACGGCATAAACCAACTCATTCAAATGAAACCCCACACAAATGTCCTCAATGTGGCATGGGATTTAAAATAACAAAAACCTTGAAAAGACATATTAGAAATGTCCACAACGCTCAGAGATCTCATGTTTGTCACACATGTGGTAAAAGTTTTATCCAACTGCAGACACTTAAGGTAGGATTTGATAAAAAACAACACATCAGATTTATTTATTTGTTTTTCTATCCAACAGCTTTGATTTTTAATTAAATTGTATCCAAACTTGTCTTAAAGCTTCTATTCTCCTGCAGGTGCATATGGTTCTTCATTCTGGAGTTAAACCGTACAAGTGCTCTTATTGTGGAAGAGGATTCGCTCAATCTGCTCCACTCAAAACCCACATGCGCATACACACAGGGGAGAAGCCCTATAGCTGTCATGTATGTCAAGAAGCCTTCTCAACACGTACAGCCCTCACTTCCCATGCATTCAAGCACAAAAATGTGTTGCCTTACCCCTGTACTCGATGTGAAGCTTCCTTTCGGTTCAAGAAAGACTTGGTTTGTCATGAACAAGGACATGACGATGTGGAAGTTCGTTTGAATCAGTGTCCTAACATTAAGGAAGAAGGATCTGATGGTACCGACCACCTGCAAAGCCAACTGGAACTCACTCAAGGGTCTGAAGCTCACGATCGACTGGAAGCAGTCTACAATGATGATGATGAGCAGTTATTTGACTCATACAACCCTGTTGAAAATCAGCCATTTCCTGGTAGCAACTTGATTAGTTGTCTCAGCAGTTCCACACTGCAACAAATGTCACTAAATAACTCCATGTCTTCAACAAACACATTGCATGAGACATATTCCAGCCATCATGTTGATGTTCCTGAGGTAGGTGGCTCTCAAAGGCATCCTCTCATACATATGCCAAATTTGTCTAACTGCTGCAATTGAAGTGCCAAGTAGTTGTATGTATCTCATGGCCCGGCAGTGGGCACATTGCCTCACTTTTTGTTGCACTTGAACCTCTGAAATTGACCGCATCAGTTTAGGAAATTAACACATAAATAGATAGGGCCAGTAGTGAAGTGGTGAAATAGGCAGTGCATCCCCACTCTCTACCTCATCCCTGGCCCTAATAATTCTTATTTTGCCATCAACTAAAATTATCCTCTGCTTATTGTTCAAGTTTACCATATATTTATTTTTCACCAAAGATTGAATTACTTCACAGGAAAAAAGACATGTGGTGTTAATCAGAAAATAAAATGACATTAAGTTCTTTAGATTTTTTTTATTCCTTATTTTTATATAGCTCCTCATCAATGCTCTTTGTTGTGAAGTTGTACTTGCATTGAATTCTGTCTCATCAAAGCAGTGGCAATGCCTGAATACTAATGATTTTCCTGCCATGTATATAGAACACACTGACAAAATTTAAGAAAAAAATCCATCACCGGCTTAAACTACAGAATGCAAAATCAGTCAAAGTTAACTTCAAGTCAATGTAATTTGGAACATGATTCAGATAACAAGGAGGTCACAGTGTTAGAGAGATCACAAAAAAGAACCTATCTACATAAATTTAATACACAGGAGGTGGACCAGGTACATCATAGTTTGGAGTCTGGTCTGGATATTTATCCTCATAATCAAGTGTAATTTTTACAGGGGAATATTTTTCATTCAGAAGTTTCAAGACAGAATTCTGAATAAAATCCACGTCTTCTGGGGGACAATAATTATCGTAACTCGAACGAGAAATTGTTATCATAATTGGGGGATGAGGAAGTGAGGCGAGGAGTCCAGCAAGAGAAACATCAATCATTTTTGTTATGTCTTCTCGACTTGTAACATGTTCTGGCAATCCTGATTCATCGCATGTACAACCTGCATCATGTATTGTTTCCCAGTCAATCTTCGTCTGCGGATAATATTTTTGAATCTCATCAAATAATGACTGCACCTACAACAAAGGAACATTGAATAAAATATTCTTTCTACCATAAGGTAACTTGAGCTAACTAAGTGGAAAAGAGTTTGCTTACCCCAAACATATAATCTGATGAACACAATTCAGTACTCAGATTGCCCATGCTGTTATATTTTGCTAGATGTGTGAAGAACTTACTCAGTATTTCAATTTGATCTTTTCTTTTTGCAGTTCGAGTATTTATATCATTAGTTTCGTTGTTTGGAAAACGGTATAGTTTCTTGAGTCTTTCATACACCTCTGCATCCTCATACAAGGAGAGAAAAGGGTTGCGTGTAGAAAAGAAATCAAGATCTATATCCAGAATGTACGTTTGATCGCTGATACAATTTCTTACTACTCTCCCTAGTTCATTGAAATCATCTGAGCCATTTTCTTCAATCACTTTCCCGAGAGTTACCACTTCCAAGTCAACTGGTTTGGCATTCGCAAGATCCTCGATGGGAGCGTACAAAGCATCGGAAACAAAGTAGGGTTCACCGCTGCGAAAGAACACAATGACATTACAAGAGGACAAATGGCACTGTATGAACACTTGCTTACATTTCGCTTACCAGGTCACCCTGATGCACTTGCTGTTTCTTTCCTCCCCAATATGAAAGGAGTGAGTGCCCTCTCTGATCTGGTTGCACCAGGGCGGCCTAACCCAACAAATTTTGTTGAAATGGCCGGCGTAGGCGGCGGGCATGATCCAGTTCTCGATGCTCAGGTGCTCGAAGAGGGCGTACTTCTCAAACACTGTTTCTGCTTTCATATCATTGGGTATCAACATATCGGGGTGGGAATCCAGGTGAATCATAACACTGCCCTGCAGTGGGAGGTACTTGGCGCCAATAGCCTTGTAGATGAAGGGGATCACTTCGTGGTGGTTCTCCACGACCACAATGGGCAGCTCCTTGTATGTCCTGTGCATTTTCCTGGCCGGCTGAGCCATTTTCGGCCGCAGCTCGCTCCAGGACGAGGACGCCGCCTCCAGCTTGGTGTTGACTCGAGAGAGAAGCAGACGCCAGCAGACGACGCGACAAATGACAACCACCGAGCCGAGCCCGGCGGGCGGCCCGGGGGCCGAGCTGCCCCCTCCCCTCCCCTAGCCGAGCGAGCCAGGAGCCAGGAGGTGGTAAAGCACATTCGCTGCACCGTTGACCTCCCAGTGCGGTGCGGATGGTCATGGTTCGCGGTGTAGCCGTAGTGGTTCGTGGTAAGTCTGTGGCAGTGGCACCGCAACTTCAACATCATCACCATGATCATCATCATCATCGCTCTTCATAGACAGGAAGTCCGTTCAAAGACTAGGAGTCCAGAGACTCAGCGGCCTGGAGCGTACGTCTGCCGTGCCGCCTCGCCGAGTCTCTTGACTGCTGCTCTTTGCATGGACGGCTAGTCCACGAAGAAGGATCCTTTCGTGGCATCACAGTGCAAGTACGAGCACGGCAGTGCCGCGGAGTGCCGCGGACCCGAACCGAGCGCCCGTCGAGCGGCGGGTAGGCAACCCAACGTGCGCCCGGCATGTGCGGGTGGCGAGCGCGCCGGGGTGCTGCCTTCTCTTGACTTGAACTTGAGAGGCTGGACCACAACTGATCACAGCCAAAAACATGCGGGCCCCCTCGGATCGGAAACGGCGGAGATAGCGTTCCCAGAAGTCGTCCGGGGCGCCCTCTTTGGCGAGGAGGTGGACCCGCCGTGCCGCGGTGCGAAGAGGGCCTTTCCGGAAACGAGGAGATTCGTCCACGCCATCATCGCGATAAAGCGGAGACAAGGAAAATACGAGAAATGTCCAACGCGTTCCGACACACGGGGAAGATATCGCCGATCTCAGACAGCCTGCCAGCCACACCGTAAAGAAACGGCAGCGCGAGCGATGATTCACCCACACTGTGGAGAAGTAGTTCGACTTCGTGGAATAAGTAGTATCGTTTCCGTCGTCGCTCTGGTGTCTCCCGCGCCGTAAGCACCATGAGTGCGAGAGAGACAGGGCGACGAAAGCGACTCCCGGAATCAGTCTGCTGGAGTCCCTTTCTGGAGATCGCGCCAGGGACCCGCTCCACTGAGGTTCAGAAGACCGGTGGAGGCGGCCAAAACTCCACACGCGCTTTGAGCTCTAGAGTCGCTAAGCTGGACTCGAATCGAGCGTGTGACCCCACCTATGGATTCCTCGTTCGGAGAGCAATCCATTGGTGGGGTCACACGTTCGGTTCTAGTCCCACTCTAAGCGACTCGGCAGCTCAAAACGCGTCTAGAGTTTTGGCCGCCTCCACCGGCCTTCTAGCAAATCCACTGTGCGCTCGTTTGCAGGCCGCAGCTGCAGGTGCCTCGCAGGCCGCGGGCCGTACAGGTGCTTCCTGCATACACGTCGCTGCCTCCGAAGTTCCCTACCGAAGTGGCTCGAGCCGAGCCGAAGCCAGGGCGGCGGACCGAACGCAACGCGGCGGACCGAACGCAACGCGGCGGTAAAGTCGAGGAACGATGATTTCATCTGATTTGCGGCTCGGCTACCCGGCCCAGCGGCGCTTTGAAGTGAGCGCGCTGCCGTGCCGTGCCGTGCCGAGCCGTGCCGTGCCGTGCCGTGCCGAGCCGTGCCGTGCCGTGCCGTGCCGAGCCGAGCCCGAGTGGTCCACGGTGCCGCCGCGCTCGGCCTGGCTCGGCCACGAACGGGAAAGATTTCCCTGCGGCCAGATGCCAGGTAAGTTTGAAAAAGGGAAATGGCACAAACAGCGTTTCGTGCTTCCATGAGTTCCAAGAGGAAAATGGCCGCGTTGAGATAAACTTGAGGTAGGTGGGCGACGGCCTGCCGTGCGTGTCATGGGGCTGGCCGCTCGGGCACGCTCGGGGCGACAGAGAGAGACAGAGGGACAGCGCAGTCCTAATGAGGACCCCATACGCTCATCACGGCCTCCTTGATGATACACGTCGCTCTGTCTCTCTCGCACCCTAACGGGCTGTCCTGCGTGTGCGAGAGAGACTGCGTGCTGGCCGTGGGCCTGAATGAGACTCGCCCGGCGGCGCGACCGAGCTAGGCCGAGGGCCGAGCCCAGCCAGCCTAGGTGCTTCTTTAGTCTAAAATGTATTAGTCGGCGGAGATGAAAGAGATCCTGATGAGGGAGGGAGAGACGTGAAGAGACGCCGGGCTGGAGAGAGAAAGAGGGAGACCTGACACACGGTGCAGACACAATCTAAAAAGGATGAAAAAGAGGCCGCGGCGGCGGGTCTCGAACCCGAGACTCGGCGTGACGCGCGACACCACGCGCTGCGCTGTGGGATTGTGTGGGTTGAGACAGCGGCGAAACCTCCGGTCGGAATCGAGAGTGGGAGTGGGAGAGGGCTGGAGGCGAGACGCGGCGCGCGGCGTGAGAGTGACAGAGAGGCAACGACATATGAAGGCTGCCGACTTGTTTACATGCTTGCCATGCTTGCCGAGACACGTGTGTCTGTGTGTCGGCTATACGGATCCACATCCAAGCGTGGGCGGCACGTGCTGGCCACGTGCGCAGTGCACCTTGCAGCCGGGGCGTTCCAGGGCGTTCCAAAGGCGATCGCGTCACCAGTTTCCTCCCACAAAGCCGCCGTTTTCTGGTTCGAATCCCTGCAGCGCGCGCGGATTTTTTCCCCTGGCTGCTAATTATCCGCGCCTGGAGTGGGGGAAGGGGTGGGGGGCAGGGGAGGGTGGCGCGCCGGCCGGCAGCTGGGCGCTGGGGCGGGCTGGGCGGGCTGCGGGCTGGCTGGGCCCCGAAGCCACCGAAGCCGAGGCGGGGCGAAGGCAGCAGCGCAGCGAGGCGGCGACTCGACGACTCGACTCAGATGCTGCGGGGATCCCTTCGACTCAGGTCCTGCCAGTCCGCTCCGCGCCGCGCTCCGCGAGTACGCACGCACTCACGCACGCGAGTTCGCACGCTCGCACGCACGCACGAGGGCGTCGTCCACAACCTGCGCCAACCGCGCCCCGCACCATGGGTCCCGGGCCGTGTCCGCGGACTGTGACATGAGGCTGTCATGGGCGTCCATGTGCTCGGCGTGGTCGTCGCGCTGCTCCTGGTGCTGCAGCCTGCCCCCCGCACCCAGGTCGCCGCCGACCTCGGCGTCGCCGCCACAACCCGCGAGGTCGCCGACGACGCCCCTGCCGCGGCCGCAGCGCTTCTGCCGGCGATCTTGCCCGAGGCCGCGTCCCGGACGCCGGCCCCGGACGACGCCAAGCGCGGCCAGCGGCTTCGCCACGACCGCCATGGAGCACGTCATCACCGTAAGGAGGCCGCCGACGGCGCGCGGCCCGGCGACCGCCAGGCTCGGCGACACGACCGCCAGGACCGTCAGGACGGCGAACGCAAAAAGAAGGTAGGCCTACTTGCCATTCAAACTCTTTTTCGCCGAAAAGGTTCAAAATGAATCCTTTCTTTCTCTTCGCGTCACTTCCGCTGCAGGGCGTAAAGCGCAGGTCCTTTGAGGTCCTTCAACCAGGGCCTGTCGCGGCCTGGCGGCAGTGCGGTCTTTTCTCCCTTTTTCCGTAAGAAATTAACAAGAAGGCGTGATGGTCTCGGGCGCTGTCTCTGTCTTGTCGCACTTCCGCCGCCAGCGCCTCACTCCCTTTTTGCCACCACCCAATTTTCTCTCAAATTGAAATTTCCGCATACCCTCTCCCGCCCTCTCCATTTTCTCGAAAACGACGGAAGTTACTTCAGAGAGCGAAGTCATTTCGAAAATCACTTTCTCTTATTTATTTTTGACAAGGTTTGCGAGCTGCTTGGGAAGTCCAAGTTTCCTAGTTTAGGGTGAAATTTGACGCCTGAAAAAAATAATAATCCAATTTTCTGGAGACGAACGACTGCGACTAGGTGGTGAGAATGTGCGGCCTGACAGCGCGTCGATTCGATGTATCGATCTATCGACGCGTCGATCGAAAGTCCCGCCGCCCGCCCTTTCATGCCGCCGCCGACCCCTGTCAGCACGTCGACCGCCGGCCCGCCGCCAGTGATGCATTTTGATTGAACGACCGCCGCGTTGACACGTCGGCCTGACGTGTCAACCTGACGTGTCAACTTGACAGCCGCACGCTCCTCACTTCTGAAACTGATTGTACTACATCAATCGAGGGGTCGGCAACTTCCCTTGGCCGTGTACGAGGGAGTATACGTATATTACCAGTAATATAGGTAATATGTGTGTAATATAAAGTAATACAAAGTAATATAAAGTAATATAGGGGTATTATAGAGGCGAAATTGTGGTAATATGCAAGTATTATATGGTAATATACAGGTAATATACGGGTAATATAGCCACCGCGTACGAAGTAATATACGAGTTGCCGACCCCTCGACATCAATCACAAAAGAACCGCCATGCCCATTGTCCGTGAGGTTTGGCACGGGAGTCTCGAGGGACGTCAAATGCGTCACTTTTGCGACTGATTGTACCGACTTGAACCGCAGAAAGATGACCATGTCGACTGTCCATGAGTTTAGGCCTATAAAGTGCGAGTCTCTCTCGATTACTTCGCTTTTGCGGTCGACTGTCCCTACCACAGTGGGGACAATTATCTGCTTTCACATTGGCAGTAGCGTTGGAGTGCGGGGGTTCGGGCCGGGTGTGTGGGCGTAGCGTGGCGGGGCGCGGCGCGGCCGGTGCAAAGCGCGGCGCGCAAAGGAAGCCGCCCTGACTAAAGCGGCTAGACAAAAGACCCGCTAATACTTTCATCGGGGAATAAAGGAATGCCATTTAGCGTCAGTTTAGGGGATTACGGAGTCGCCCGCAGACCTCGACTCTTATTATTTCCATGCCGACTGACTGGCTGGCTGGCTGGGCTGGCTGTTTGGACCGAGAATGTTGGCGGTACTTTTCGTACGTGTGCAGGAGTACTAGTACTCATCTTCCACCGCACTGCTCCCCCCCCCCTTTTTTCAAGCCTCCATGCCTGTCAATCGACTTGAATAGCGTGCTAAGGACACCGGCTACCGCCTTTGCCTTTCGCACCGCAGCGGAGCGTTTTATGCGGTACCGTCCCCGCCAAAAGCGCCTCCGCCCAAATGCCTCGGTACAGTCCGGGAGGAAGGCAACT